CCTACTCCCGGGCTACCTTTTATTTTCTTTTTACTTTGAACCTTTCTTTTAGGAAACAAAAGCCTTGCAATTAATTCTAGATTTCCCAAATGTTTCCAAAAGAAGACACCCCTCCACCACCAAGAGTCACACCTTCCCTTTGATCCACTAGAGATTTCTGATGGGCATCACTAAATTTGGAATAGGGCCTTTCTCCCAAAATATCATTTCCTCTTCCTTTTTGCTTTTCTTTTCCATTAGTTATTATTTCCTATGAAATTTTAGTTCAAGAGACTGTAGGTAAAAAGTTGAAATAAAATTCTTTATTCTGTGAGTTATGAATATTGGATCAAGTTTTTTTGTTTCTTTTTTCTTTTGTATTTGGGATTGAACCCAGGGACACTTAACCACTGAGCCTCATCCCCAGCCCTATTTTGTATTTCATTTAGAGACAGGGTCTCACTGAGTTGCTTAGCGCCTCGCTTTTTGCTGAGGCTGACTTTGAACTCATGATTCTCCTGTCTCAACCTCCCTAGCCACTGGGATTTCAGGTGTGTGCCACCATGCCTGGCCTCAAGATGTTGTTTTATCAACTTCCGAGTTACCAGGTTATGCCCTGTGTGTGAGGCGGCATTTGCTTGAAGAGTAAATCATCGTGTCTTCCGTAGGTGAACAAAACACTGTCAGTCCTACAGAAGATTCTTCTTTTTGACTCGGAATCTATAGCTACACAGGAAAGCGCCTAAGTCCCTGGAGTCTGCCTTCATTTGCTTATCTTCCATGTCCAAACTATCACTGACTCAGATTCTAAAACAAACTTCAAGTCTTGTCTTTCTCTCTTGGATTAGCCAAATCTGAATCACAGCTGTCTGTCACCTGGAATGCTTACTGCAAAAGCTTCCTAATCAGTCTCCCAGGTCCCACAATTCATTCATTGCATGCAGCCAAAATGATCATAAATACTCTATCAGGTTACTTCCCTGTCCTGTCTGACACTTTGTAATTTGCCCTTTTGTCAGGAATATTCCTTCTTTGTTGATTTTTGTGAGGGCTAGCCTCTATTTATCATTCAGGTTCAGTCTAAATGTTCCCTCAGAGAACCCTTTTCAAGGAAAAGTTACCCTAATCACATTTCTGTGTGTTGTTTCTATGGTAGCTCTTACCCACTCTTACATTTGTGTTTGTGTGTGTGTGTGTGTGTGTGTGTTTGCGCGCACATGTGTATAGTATACATATATGTAAAAGTATATATGAGCGTGGTAATGTGTATTTGGGTGGATGCCTATTTGTATGAGGTGTATGCATATTCATGTGGCATTTTCTAGGGGTAGTAGGCTGTGTGAGATCAGGAATCTTTCTGAATTGTTCATCCTCCTATTCCCCAGAACCAGACCCATGTTTGGCAAATCATATGTATTCAGTAAACATTTTGAGCTAATGAATGAAAATCTGGTGGTAGAGGTAGAAATAAGGCTGCTGGCTCTGTGGTGGACAGTATGCCATGCTTTTTGTTGGGAGCCAAGAGAAGCAGAGAAGGTGTCTTGTCCCACAGTCAAACGTCACTTTGAAAGTGGAATCCAGAAAAGTAGGAATAGAAATCATTTAAGTGTAGCATTTGATACATTCATTGTTCAAGTGTAGCATTTGATACATTCAAGTGTAGCATTTGATACATTCATTTTTGGAAGTGTTCATTTCTCTTGTTGTGTAGGAGGGAAGTGAGGAATGGAGGTCCCCTCTATGTTGGATTCAGAATGTCAGCAGGCAGGTTGCATCTGTCTCTGGGTCTGGGGTATAGGGAAGGCAGTGGCAATAGGTAACCATGAGAGGACCATAAAGGTGAGAAAACAAATAACACTGGGCCTTGAGTTCTGCTTTTTATTTTTTAAAAGTAATCTTCAGGGCTGGGGTTGTGGCTTAGCAGTGGAGCGCTCGCCTAGCACTTGCGAGGCCCTGGGTTCAATCCTCAGCACCACATAAAAATAGATAAACAAAATAAAGATATTGTGTCTAACTACAACTAAATAATAAATATTTAAAAAGTAATCTTCATAACAGGAGATTTGAACACATTAACCCAGGAGACAGGACTCCCTGGTCAAAACCTAAGAACCAGATATAACAGGGTCAGGAGGAAGAGAGGGAGAAACTGGCAGAATGACACTAACTCTTAGTCTCAATTTTTGAGGTGTCTTCTGAAAACTTGTAGGAATTGTATGTAGTTGTGCTAAGGAAACATGTCAGTTGAAGAATATAAAATTAAATAAATGAATTGTAGACAAAAACCAAACAGAAGATCGAGGGCTCCATTGGAAAAGAGAATGCAGGAGAAGATTAGCTGGCATTTCATGTCCATTTGAGGTAGGAGGGTAGCAGCAATCATCAACTTGTTGATCATTTCTGATTTTTCTGGGAAAAATTAACTTTCACTAAATCTTTTTTCCCTTCTTCTTCTCTATCCCTATACCTTGTGGCTTACCTAGAGTGGTGGAGAGACAGCAAGAGAGTAGGGATGAGGGACTGAGCTATTTGATATTATTTAACATCAGCTGTGTGGAATATTCTTCTTTGGTTGTGGTTGGCTTGTTTCTTCATGGCATGGTGACAGCACAGAAATAGGTAATCCCAGAATCACTTTCATTCATTGAGTTATTTTGCATAAGAACTTGAGTAGAAAAGTTTACCTTTATATTAATTTCGAAGATAGCTCAAAAAGTTAGACTAACTGTCACTCTGCCAGTTTCTCCCCCTCTTCCTCCTGACCCTGTTATATCTGGTTTCTTAGGCTTTGATCAGAGAGTCCTGCCTCCTGGGTTAATGTGTTCACAGGCCTGATACCTCATTGTCTCCTTTTTGGGAGCCCAAATTGCCTTATTATGTCTTGCCCTATTTTCTAATCACTTCTCCCCTTTTCTGAACATGGAATAATTTCTTATTGCCAAATTTTATGGTTTCTTTTCCCAGTTAGACTCCCCGCACCCCCTTTTTAAAACCATCTGATTTTGAAACTCACAAATCACTGCATGGTCCAGGTCCCATCTTAAATGACTAAGATGAGATTAATACTAGAATGAAAAAAAAAATGCCATATTTCCTAATCCTTAGAGGGATCTGAAAATGGTAGACACGTGGGACATAGACATCCCATCTCTTGTGGTTTCCTTCTGCAGAGATAGATAATATGTGGTGGTGAATTGATAACACATTTTTAGAGGGGTATGGATCCATTTGTCTAAAAAAGACCTTAAATTTTTGTAAATGGAATTTTGTAGGCAAAAAGTTCAACAAGGTTTGAATTGTTGGGGGGGCAGGCGGCGGCATTACTTTACTCCTAAAAAGCAGGCTGATTGTTCCTTACTGATTGCAAACTAATTCCTATATGTGACTTTCATTGTGAGGCCACAGCATTGACTGTCCCTCAGGATCAAACCTCATGCAAGATTTCATGCAGCTTCAAGAATGAAAGCAGGTGAAATCTTTCATATGCTGCCCAGTCTGTGTATTTACTACTTTTTCTTATGCTAACCCAAAGGTAGTCTGTACTCAACAGGAGTGTTTCACTCTCTTCTTAAACTCATCTCATGAGTACCTCTATTTTGTCTGAAATGTTCCAATCTTTCTCCTCCTCTGGAGCCTCATTTAAATGACACTTCCTATGTTGTATTTTTCTTACCCTTTTCTCTCCACCTTCCTGTGATCCTCTGCTCTTTGAGTCCCCACTGATAAGTTATTTGGGTGCTTTGCCTCTTTTCCTGAATTATAAGGCCCTTCATACAAGAACAATGTGTTATTTGTCTTTTTCTCACCAATTTAGCGTTTTAAAAAATGCTATCCCACATAAGCAACAAACAAAACATTTTAAATTGAATTGACTATAAAATATTCAGGAAGCAAGTGTCATTTTAACTAAGCTGAAGTTAAGGTGATGTTTTGTGGTGGAGGGGTCAAAGGTCTGTGACTTCTGGCCTTTCTTTCTTTTCCCTCAGGATCCTTTAGCTAGAGTTTAATGCTGCTACAGAATCACAGGCCAGGGAGGGTCCTTTAAGGGATCACTGACTGCTTCTTTCTTTGGGAAAGATCATAAACAAATGGTCTTATACATATGAGCATTTCCACAATGTTTCCAGCAAACCTCCAGAGAAGGGGATGTTATAGCTTTTCTTAATGTATTGTCAGGGTAACTCTTGCTGTCAAAAACTTTACCGTAACTAAATATTCAATCTTTTAACAACAATTTTATGATTTCCTTTTCTTTTATAAACATTAGCTGGAGATGCCCTTAGTTTTGGACCTCACTTTGTACCTTCATGATGCTGTGGAGTGGTGCTTCTCGCTTAGATCTTTTCTGCAGCCACGTGTGATTTTTCTCAATATCATCAGGTTTTTTTTTTTTTTTTTTTAATTAGTTGTTCAAAACATCACATAGCTCTTGACATATCATTTTTCATATATTTGATTCAAGTGGGTTATGAACTCCCATTTTTACCCCGTATACAGATTACAGATCCTGCAATCTGTATTCCATCAGGTTTTGCTGATAAAGCTGTAGGCATTCCCTGTGACTTTTTAGATGAAAATACTTATAGTACCTGGTAATCACAACTTTTGAAAAAAGGGAATTCAATTTGTTAAACATGCAAACAGATGAAGGGAATTTGTGTGTTTGTGTTTCTTAGTCTTACATAAGTTGCTTCTTTTATCTTTGGCTAGTTAATACTCATCTATTTCTGATTTTGGAATTCACTGTCAAATTATTTAGTTTAGCTCTTATTTTATTACCAGAGAAAATGTTATGTTTATTGATACAAGTAACCTTTTTTTTCTTTTAAAATGGTTACACTCTCATTTTAAAAATGTATATTTGATCATCACACTGGTGTTATTTTTTCGACTCTGAAGAAAGGAACTTTTAAATAAATTAGTTATTGTCTTCTGCGTTATTGAACATGTGGTCAGTTGTCATGTTCATACATCCAGATGATCAAAGTCTGAACTTCTGTCCAATTCCTCCCTGCGGCTAGGCTACCCGGTCATGATCAAGGCCTCAGCAGGCGGTGGCGGGAAAGGCATGCGCGTCGCTTGGAATGATGAGGAGACCAGGTGAGCCTCTGTCCAAAATGTACTTTTGATGAAAATTGCAGTTGCCAGAGTTTTATTAAGCTGGCAAGTAAACAGATACTAACAGCATAATGGAGTAATTACAATAATCACTTATTGAATGGGGAAAAATAGAAATTATGGAGAAGCCTTCATTTTTTATATTTTGAGATGAATATCCTATTATAGAGAGGCTTTTATAAGGGTATTTTAAAACATTAACAAGGGACTTTTTGTTTTTACAGTATATTTTTAAACAATTATAGTTATTCTGTTTTTTAGGCAGAAGTTACTAACATTTGACTCTAATTTGGAAGGTAATCTGAAAATTTGAACCAAATATATTTAAGAGTAGACATAATTTCATTGAGTGTTTATGTCAGGGCTGTGGGTATAGCTCAGTGGTAGAGTGCTTGCTCAGCATGCACAAGAATCCTGCGTTCCATACCCAGTACTGCAAAACCAAACCAAACCAAACCAAAAAAACAACCCCCCCACCCAAAAAAAAAAAAAAACACAACAATGATAAAAAGAATTTATGTCTTACCTCATTATGTACTTGTTTTACTTTGCTAGTCCATAAAAGTAGTGAACTATTTTGGTATTTTATAGTGTGAAACGTATTCTTTTCTGAGTTTGAAATTGCTGCATGTCTTTTATATACAATGCACTTTGTTGTAAATTTAGGTCACTTTCTTTTTACTAGTTTCAGAAATCAAAAGTAACTTCCAAGAGACAAAATTTTGAAAATCAAACATATTGGTGACATTATAGTGATTAGAAAGGAGTAGTTCAAGAAACTGCCTAGTAGAAACAGGTTTAAGGAACTCTGTTCATATTTATTTTCCTTATTTTCAGAATTGACAGCAGGAGAGTTGTTATTTTGGGAGATGATGGGATGAGAAATCACAATTTTTTTTTTTTTATTGTTATGTTGTCTTTCCTGCCTTTTCTCCACCCAGAAGTCATCTGGCCTTTCAGATGCTTAATTGTGCTATTTCCTCCTTTGCTCATTTCTTTCCCCATTCACTTCCCTCATAAAGCTCCTAAAGACAGGAATTTGGATTTATTAGTGTGAAAGTCATCCAGTACAGTGGGACCAAACCTTACTAAAAACAGGAGGTTCTGAAGAGAGCAATTACCTTGAAAATCTCCTGGCTACTCTGCATTCTCCTTTAAGGCCTTATGGGAAGGCACTGTGTCTGGGACTTATGGAGTGTCAGCTCTACAGGACAACTGACTCACAACACCACTGTTTCTTTGGTTGACACCAAGGACGTGCTCGCTTGTTTTGTGAGGATGACAGTCTGTAAATTCCAACCTCACTCTCACAGTGGCTCTGCACCAGGAAATGACCAAGATCACAGAGATGCTCCTCTTCCCTCTTCTGCTAACCCAACAAGAAGAAATGCAATATTTGTTGAGAGCCTGCTGTTGACAGGTGCTGTTTTAGTAAGGCTTCAGGGACATAGCAATGAATAAAATCAGAAAATAATCCATTCCTTCACATATTTTATGTACTAGATCAGGGGTTCTTGGTAAGGGGAGGTTCATGAATGTGGATGAATGAAAACCACAGATTTCTCTTACCAGCCTCTGCCTGGGATGCATGTTTCCTCCTGGGTAACAAGCCAGGGGAATAGTAGTATCTGTAGAACTTTTTACTGCTAGAAAGTCACATGCGTTATCTCATTATGTTTTTGCAGATAAGTTACGCTGATCATTAGACCCATCGTTGGTGCTCATTATTTAACAAGGAACCACTTGTATTATATTCTAAATGTGTAAAAATTTTCAATATCTGTATTTCAATATTATTTTGTTTCCTCTGCAATCCTATGTATTTTTAATTTTTAAATTATTAATTGATATTATTTTTGCTGTTATTTGCAGTGCTGGGGATAGAACCCAGGGCCTTGCTCATGCTATAAGCTGTTATAATTATTACTTTTTTTTTTTTTTTTAAAGAGACAGGGTCTTGCTGTTTTGCCCAGTCTGGCCCTGCACTTCTGGGCCTAGGTCATCTTACTGAGTAGCCGGGATAACAGGTCTGTCCTGTCATGCCTGGTGACCCCATGCGTTTTATAACACTTTAAGCCTTATTTTGACAAAATGTTTCTGTGCTGTATCATCTTGTGAAAGGGATCCATGGCATAAACAAGGTTGGGAAATTCTGTAGGTGGTAGTAGGAGTCAAACAAAATCACTGCGGAAGGTGAGAATAGCATAAGAAACATAAAAATGGGCGGAGACTTGAGGAATCCTGGAGGTAATTCCCCTCAGACCACCTCTAGGCCTGTCCTTGAGGAGCCAGCACTGGAGCCAGGAGGTGAGGATCCAGGCAAGGGAACGGCAAGCGCAGCCGTCCTCTTGCAGGAGAACCAAGACCGGGTGGCATGGGAGGGAAGGCAGAAGGAGGCAGCTCAGAGTGCCTTTGTGGGGTCAGGGGAGATCTGCTGGCTCTCAGTCAGATGCGAAGCTGCTGGAGTGATTTGAGTAGAAAAGACCATCATGGAACTTCAAATTCCCGACATTTGAAAGAGGATAGAGAAGAATTCAATGAACTTCTGGGTGTATTATCAGATTAACCAGTTGTGGAGATTTTGTGACTGAGGTCTTACTAGGGCCACTCTGGTTGCTATTTGGTGGTGGACTTGAGGGGGGCAGAATCATGATCTTGAAATCAGAGAAACCAGTTAGGAGGCTGCTGTGATCATCTGTGCAAGAAAAATGGTGTGATTGGTGGCGGTGTCAAAAAAGAGTGTGATTTTGAACGTAGAGACAGGAGTGCTGTGGGACTGAGGCAGAGTGAGAGTGCTCATGGATGACGCGTGGACTCTCCCCTACTTTCTATTTGTCTTAGTGTTGAATTTATATGAATTGAATGTATATGACACAACTTTGTTTCACTTGAAAATTTCTTGGGACATGCTGAGAGATGAAGGTCAAAGTGAGGGCTTCAGTCTTCCAAGTTGAAGAATGCTGCATTGCTTTGGTTTTTAGCCTCTCTCTGGAACTCTCTCGGCCTGGCTTAGCACCTTTTCATAGAGCATGAATTAACTATGGGTGTGTGGAGTTGGGCTGACTGGATATTGTGTGGGGACAGAAGCACGCAGAAGCAGGGAGGCTGCTTAGTCCCATTTGACCTCACAGTCCATCCTATTTGACATTTATCTATCAAAGTTCAGGTTTAATGTCTCAAAGATTTTTTTCCTGTTTGTTGTTCACAATTTTAAATAGAACCCTTTGAACCACAGGACCCTTCCATGAGTGGCTTGATCTTCCTCACAGTCTGGTGGTTTGGGACTTCTACAAGGTGACCCGGAGTTATAAGATCAGTTGTTTCAAATCCAGATGGAAGCTGTATTACCTTTTTTTTTTTTTTTTAAGTAGAGTATATTTTTTCATATTATATATGGCCCATTCTTAGAAATCACCCTGTTTCCCCTCCACCACCTTCTGGTGATTGCCAGGGAGTACTAGGTTCTGACCAAATCCAATGTGACTCCACTTCTTCACCTGGAGTGGCGGGATTCTAGAACAGCACCTGGATGGGAGACACTGCCATTGTCATCCTTGGGAAGACCGTTGCTACATACAGCCTCTTCATAGGAAAGAATGGCATAAGAAAGATGCTGGAAACCATTTACAGGTTTTGTGAGAGGTGTATATTCAGTGAACATTACTTTTTTTCCTCATTGTTTTCCTCTTTTGCGTGATATTATATAGCAATTTCCCTGAAAGCCCAACACTTATTTTTTATTGCTCCTCTTTAGTTCTCAGATTTCTTTTTAAAAAAATATTCATTTATTTATGTATCTTTAGTTCTTAGGTGGATACAATAGTTTGTTTTTATGTGGTGCCGAGGATCGAACCCAGTGCTTCATGCATGCTAGGCGAGCACTCTACCGCTGAGCCACCACCCCAGCCCCTAGTTCTCAGATTTCTTATCAGACCTGCTCCAGGCTATTGTAGGGAACAGGCTGTCTTATGGGAGGGATTGCTCTTCCCAGTTTCCTGGCAGTGGGACTTGTGCTGTTGTTGATCCTGAATTTTAACTTAGAGTTTAGTGTTTTCACGAAAGAAGTTATTATAGCCATTCATATGGCATCTTTTATTAAATAATTTAACCCTTACTTGGCAAGTAAATGGCACATTGATTCAAATTATATTTATATAGTTTGTAAATATAGATCATTTTCTACTGAAAAATATGACTCTGTGCAACTTGATAAACAAGCCATCTCTTTTGTTTAGATCAACAAAAGTGTAGCTCTGTTGGCTTTAATAATACATTATATGCTCTTTGCTTTTAAAAGTTGCTCTATGTCCTTTGTTCATTTGAAAACCCCCAAATTCCAGAATAAACGAGAGAAAGGTCTAATGAACACCCTGGTATTTAACTTCTGTAATAACTCATTGTGGATATTATGCCACAACTAATTCGTTCTTTCTTTTCCTCTCTCCCACTCTTGAAGAACTTTCTTTGTGTGTAAGCCACAACATTTTAGTATTCTTTGGAAGCAGTATAAAATTTAGTGACCATTATTTGTTTTTATATTTTATCCTAAGAGGTGTCTATGACTTGTCGTCGAATCGTTAGGACATTGGAAAGATTTTTATAAAAATGTTTGATATTATACAATAAATTGGGAAGAGAATAATGAAGGTGTTGAACACAGACTTAGATATTTTCATAATTATCTCTGGCTTTCTTTTCCCTATCCAAATTTAGGTGAGATGTATGACATGAATATAAGTGATTGTCCCACCCATTTGAATGTCCCCACTAGACTTTAGGCTCTTTGAAGGTGCTTTCTGTTTTATTTTTGTCATCCCAGGACCTACATAGTTTGGTGACTAGTAGTTACTTATTGGGAGAATGTTATGATTGAATACCACAAAAATTTTTTGTTTTTGTTTTTGTGCTGGGATCAAACCTAGGTCCTTATGCATGGTAAGCATGTGTTCTACTGCTGAGCTACACCTCCAGCCCCAAAGATATTCTTAATACAAATTTCCTTCAGTTTGAAATTTATCTGTGATACTTTCAAACTTGATACTGACCTTGGTGACTTTGGTTTTTTTACTCTTGGAATTCTTGGTTTAAAAGCAAAATGAAACTTCTCAATCATTATAGCAGAGACAAATTGCAAAGCGCTGTGTTTTCTCTTTGTGAATTATAATATCCCATCTAATAAAAGTTGGTTATGTGGTATTAAAAACAATGATTCATTGTACTTCTGGTTTCTTTGAAGTTTGCAGTCTCCTGAGATCTGAACTCCATATCCCTAAATCAAAGATGTAATCGAAGACTAAGAAAACTCAATGCCTTTTATCTGAGAGCAGAGAGTTTTGCCACATTTGGAAATTTGTCTTCTAGTCATTGTTTACCTGCAATGTTATATGTTTCATGCACAAAAATAAATACATCAGGTAGTTATTTTTAATATCACCAGATGGACTGTTTGGAAATTAAAGGATTAAAAGAACTTGGTTTTAATGTTTTATGTTAAATACAAATGTTTAACTGTTTATTAAAAGTAAAAGGAATTAAGTTTTATATTCTGAATATATCAATGAGCATACAATACAATTCTCAATCAGTTTTAGTAAGTTTGTTTTTAATGGACTGGCCAAATATGCTGATTTTATATGCATTTTAGTAAGCATATTTTAATAATAATGACTTAAATTATTTTAGTTTGGGGTCAACATAGAGGAAAATAATTAAATTCATGTTATTTTCACAAATTCTTTTTCTTTTAATTATTGATTTTCAACAATTTAAAAAAATAAAAGGGCCTGTGTGGTGGATGGGAGATAATGGAGAACATTGTATGCATTTAGAATACGAGGAAGTGTTCTTGAGAATCTTCATACTGCATGTCTGGTCTCCTGGGTATGTTTGCTGTGGTTCTGGGGTAGTTGTGCCGTTTGCCAGGCCCTTTCTTGTTCTGTTTGCATTTTCTATCTTCTGAGACGAGTGGATGTACATTTTAATTGGGGGGCGGTGGTGAGTGCAGTGAAGATAGATTAAGGTTGAAGAAATGAGATTAATTTTAAATGCTTGGTTTAGTTGATTAAAATCTCTTACTTAACATTTGGTGAAATAAGGCCTGGTGTCAATAGAAAGTTTATGATCAGTTAAGTTAAATAACCCACTGAAGATCATAGAGCTAGTAATTGGAGGGGTTCCAGTTCAAGCAGAGTTAATTTAATTATCTGTATATTGATTAAGTTTTTTTCTGCTTTGTTCTGAAATATGCCAAAATAAATACTTAATTCTTTTTGTTTTCTTTATAATGAAGGTTGTATTTGTTTTGTTAGTCTGATTACTTTTCTGTTTTTTTTTTTTTTTTTTTACAGGGAGGGGTTTAGATTTTCATCTCAAGAAGCTGCTTCTAGCTTTGGTGATGATCGACTACTAATAGAAAAATTTATTGATAACCCTCGTCATATAGAAATCCAGGTTGGTGCATTTTAAGGTGCTTTCTAATTATGTCTTTTAAACAGTATCATTTGAAGTTATTGGAAACACATCCCTTCTTCCATTTAGAATGATTGTGAATTGTTTCGGTACGTTTGAATAAGTCCAAAATAAACTGACCACCTGTTTTTGGAATCTTGTATAATTCTGGTCAAAGTGCTAGGATGTTGGTTGGGATGGAAGCAATATAGAACCCACCTCCCAAAAGAAACAGTACTAAGATGTCTACCAGACTGAATGTATTCCACCTGCAGAATCATTCAGTCCCCTTCCAAGATTGGGCCATCTTGGACCATTTTTAAAAGGAAAGGAGTCCTGATCTGTACTTTGTATCATTTTAGTTCACCAAATGTCTGTGCTTCACTGTGGCAGGAGTTCTGGTGGGAGCTGCTTGCATGGAGATGAGCAAATCACGTCTTCTGTTTGGATTAAGATTCAATCCAGTTGTTAAAGTTGTGGATGTGGATGTCAGCAAAAAGAACACATAGAAGACAGGAACTCTGCTGAAGTTTTCATTAGTCAGAAAAGCCTTCATGCTAACTTTACACATTATGACTAAGAATTGGCAGGTCACACTTAAATTGATAAAGTATGAATATTAAATTAGAAACCACTGAATTTAAAACTCAGTGATCACTTTACATAGATACTAATTATGGGCAGAAAATCTTATAAATCTTCAAATTTTCTAGAGTAGAAAAAATGTGGAAGCATATCATCAGTGGTAGTTCTGAAACATGGAGCTCAGCTGTTTCTTTCCCAGGCTAGCCAGATCTGTTTTTGTTTGTTGGGTTTTGGTTTTAGATTTTCTTAATTGAGATATCATATGTATACAGCGAAGTCCATAAATCCTAACTGTACAACTCAATAAAATTTTTATATAGTATAAATATATAACCAACAAGATCTAGATATGAAAATTTCTATTAAATCAAAAGATTCAAAAATTTAAAAAATATTAAAAAAATAAAAAGAAGGAAACAGACAAAAAAAAAATATTCTTTCACACCACTTCCCAGTTGGTCTCTCTCCTTGGCTAGTGCACATATCTGACTGCTGTTTTGACAGCTAGCATCATAGATTAGGAGGTTTCTTTCTTCCTTTTTTTTTTCTTCTGTGCTGAGGGTCAAGTGCAGAGCCTTGCCATGCTTGGCAAGCACTCTACCTCTAAGCCCCACAGGTAAACTTCAGGCATCGCTGAGGATGCAGGGATAGAGCTGAGTGATAAAGCCCATGCTTAGCATACCTGAGGCCCCGGCTTCCCTCTCCACCATCACAAAAACAAGCTTCTTCTGAATGGAATCATACAATTTATAATTGTTTGTTCCTTTTTTTCCCATATGATGTCATATTTTTGAGATCTATGTCTTTTGGTTATTTTTTGTTGAGTAAAAAACTACCTCAGAATGCAGTGAAATAAATTCATTGTGCTGGAATACCACTTGTTATTCAGGCTTTAGATACCTGAGTTTGCTGATTGACCATGGGGTCCTTGAGGGCACAGACTAGGTCTTAGTTCTTTGCTCTTCCTAGCAACCACATTGATGGCACTCAAATAAATGTTTGTTGGTCTGTGTTAACTAATTAAGTAACTGCTTCAGCCTTTTAGCTTATTTTATTGTATTTTAATTAGCTATTGCCCATAATCTGCAAGATATTTTTAAACATAGCTGAAAATGTCTCCCAGTAGCTTAAATGGGCAACACAGTGGTTCCCATATCTGATCTCTACTCAAAAGTTTTTTTTTTTTTTAATATATTTTTAGTAGTTGATGGACACAATACCTTTACTTTATTTATTTATTTTTATGTGATGCAGAGGATCAAACTCAGTGCCTCACAAATGCTAGCTAAGCGCTCTACACTGAGCTATAACCCCCATCCATACTTGGAAGGTTTTTGAATAATTGTTTTTATGTCGTTTTCATCTAATTATTTATATTAGATAACTTGTGCACATGATAAAGGGTATTCAGCAAAAGCAAGTCTCTCTTCCCATTTCCAGGCCCCCTGGTTTCTGTTCCTATGTGCATGCACTACTGTTATTTCTTGAATGTCCACCCACATCCAGACTGTGACATATATGCGTGTGTATTGCCTGTGGTTCTTTACGTGAACAACAGTGCATCTTCTGCAATACTGAAGCTGTGCCCTGGCATGCAAATGTCACCTCTGTGTTTTTACATTACGTCCAGTGATTTCTGAAGGAGGGAAAGAGGCATTCCCCAGGCCCAGCTCAGGGATACCGAATGGCTTGGGTTACTGGGAGCTCTCTGTTATCATGCAGATTTGTATCAGGAAGTAGAGTAGCTTAGAGATTTTTCCACAATCAGTGCATGTGTATCTATAAAGGGCTATATTTAAAGTTAAAACAGCTCAGGGTACCTGTAAGGATTAACTTCTCTTATAAGCACTTTTCATTTAATTGTTTCCCAAAAAATCATCTTCAAATCGTTTTTGTTCAATGGTTGGTAAATACCCAAAACTTTAAAAAATGAACTGGAGACTATAAATGAATCTAATATTTTGCAGTTGGAAATATTCCTGAGAACTACTGGTTATTTTGGATTGCTTTATTTTTTAAGTCTACTTTCACTTCCTTGTCAACTAGAATAAAAAAGGACATTTAGAGTTATTTTAATGATTTAAAATATTTTTAGCTCTACCTCTGAGTCTTAGAAATAAAATGCCAAGTTCTTGGCATTTTATTATTGTAATGTTTTCTTTCGTTACTTGGAATGATTATTGAGTCTTAAATAGACTTTATTCCTAAAAATTAATGTTGCAGTCATATAGTAGCTATTCATTTTATAGCTTACTATACCTGTTACAACTGTAATATTTTTTAATTTGATATTTCAGAAGCCATATAAAATATTAAGATGATATTATCTATGGTTTATAATTTATGAAGAAACAAAATAACTTGCCCCAGGAGGTCTGATAATTGAAATAAAATTAATGCCTCTGCGAACCTAAAATATGCATTCAGGAATGTACAAATGGCTGTCCAGACAATTCCACTTTTACCTCACAACCCCAGCTTATTTCCAATTATTACAAATGTGAAAAGTCGTAATCTTTTCACCAGTTTCCTATAATAAAAACAAATCACAGTAAAGATATCCACATATAAATATTGCATGCAAATGCACAAAGTATCACTTCCTGATGAACAAACGTTGAATAAGGTGAGCAACAAACAGATATCTCTGGTGGCTCTCCTAAGCACCACAGGCAACCAAAGTGTGTGACCCCTCCATCGACACTTGAGTCCTTCACAGGACACAGTGGATTCTAATGCTTTTTATATCTTATGTGAAATGTAACATGAGAATCTTTTCCTCAAAAAAAAAAAAAAAATACACACACACACACACACACTATGATTACAGGAATGCGTCACCATGCCTGGCTTCCTTAAATATTTTTGGTAAAAATGTTTCATTGAATTTTGTTGAAATATAAAGGTTTTCTTTATAAGTCTCTATAAAGAGTGCTTCAAGAGGCATGTATGTTAAAAATCAGGAGCTGTTGTATGGTGGGGAAGATGTTAGCTGGACTCATTATCCATGGGTGTGGCTATGTGTTTTCAAATGACGATGACGCTCTTTTTTTTTTTGGTATCAGGGGTTGAACCCAGGGGCACTTAACCACTGAACCACATCCTCAGCCCTATTTTATATTTTATTTAGAGACAGGGTCCCACTGAGTTGCTTAGTGCCTCACTTTTGTTGAGGCTGGCTTTGAACTTGAGATCCTCCTACCTCAGCCTCCCGATCTGCTAGGATTACAGGCAAGCGCCACTGCGCCCAGCTACAAGTGACACTTTTTGTTCAGGTTTTAGGTGATAAACATGGAAATGCTTTGTGGCTTAATGAAAGAGAGTGCTCAGTTCAGAGAAGAAACCAGAAGGTGGTGGAGGAAGCACCAAGGTAAGAGTCTCTCCCCATGAACCTGCTTCCATATATCTTCTAGATTTCTTCTCCATTTTACTAGCCCAAATTGCTTTAATGTTAGCATAGACTCTAATAATGCCTATTTTTATAACTCAAAATTTGTTACTTGATCTTCTTCAGTACCATAGTGCAAAAAAGTGAGGAGTATTTGAAGAAGAAGTGTTTTTATAAGAAGAGAAATTTGGGTAGATAATCAGCTTTGACTTCTGCTGACTTTAGGTAGTGCAGAACCTGCTGGTATTTCATGGAATTTCAAGGGTATTGTTAATGGTTTTATACGTGGATCCTCAGTTTTTTTCCTACCATGAAAGGACTTGTGGGGCTTAGTTCTTGACCATTGCTTGATTTATCAGAGCCACTTTGGGTAAACTCTAGGCTACCTTTCATGTGTTTTGTGTGGTGGTTTCCTGAAGCCTTATTTCTAAGTTGATGTTAGGTTGGTTGATGCATGTGTTCTGATATTTCTTCTTAAAAATTCCCAATTGAATGTACATAGATTTTTTTTTCTTTAATTACCAGGCACCAAAAAAAAAAAAAAAAAAAAATCCCACTTTAGCTTTAATTAGCATAGCCAGCATACCTTGATACAATGAAGAGTGAATGTGAATGAGTTTTTATCCAAGGTAATGGTAAAATTAAACCATCTTTTAGTTGTAATAGTTTGAAAAAATCATATATGGTATAGTAGTTTGAAATGTTTCCCAACTCCTGTGAACTTTTCTCGTGGTGTGATGGGGGAGGGGACTGAGTTGTCTCCACTTGACCAGTGGAATACAGGTCCCATTTTCTGGCCCAGGCACCCGGAAATTCCCAGCTTCTACTTCTTGTGTCTTCGGATGCATGCTCTTAAAAGCCTGCCACCATACTGTGAAGAATGGCCCACTGCAGCCACGTGGCATGGGGCCCTGTGTCACATGGCCTAGGACGTAAGGGGGGAAGAAGAAAGGACAAGGAATGTCCTCCCTGGGTCTTTCCCCAGGAAGGGTCCTGGAAGCTGCAGTCCTCTTTGCTTGATATTGACCTTTCAGTTAGGCACCTAGCCAACTGCAGACTCGGAAATGTCTTTTTTCCTTCCGTGACCACGTGCTCAGCTGAAATTCTAGCTGTAGGGACCCAGGGGAGAGGACGCTGGCAGAACAGTGATGGGCTCAGATCCAGTTCTTTTGCAACTTCGTGGTTTTTTGCCTGCCTTGTCATCTCCATTTCCACTTTCTGTTTTAAATTTACTCAAGTCTTACCTGGGTTAGAAATCCTTCATAGACTGGGAACCTTGAATCATGATTTTTGTTTGTTTCTTCTGTCTATGACCATCTCATCTATTAATTTAGAGAAAAGAGGGAAATTTCAAGCAGTAGGAATCAAAATAAAAAGCTAGGACTGATCGTTAGTAGTGACTTGCTATGTACCTGGGCATTGTAAAATGTTAAAATAAATGGCCTAGGTAGTTTTCAGATCCTAAAGTAAGAATCTACCACTGTGCTTTGAAGGTAGTGCTAAACTGGCTATTATCTTTGTTTTTTACTGCTTAGGATTTATGGTAAGGGAAAGGATAAGACCAGACAGGGCAAAAATTGAGTTCTTAACTGTACTAAAATTCTCCATTACATTATCTTCCATTGGTTTTCTTCTTTTGTTGCATTAGTTATTCATCAACTCCTATATTCATTAAGTTAATGCAGAACAATATTTTTAATAGGTAAGATTCATAACACCTGAACCCATTGATAATCCTGACATCACCAAAGGGAAACAGTAGAAAGTTTATTTCCCACTTGCGAAGTATTCTTGCCCACCCCCACCATGATCCAAATCAGTCTGTTACAGGCATGAGTTCTAACTAGCAGTTTCTGTGGAATGGAAATACAAAGCTAGTGTGAAAGGACACCTGGGCTGCCTGCAGCCAAACCCAGAAATCAAGGAATGAGATAGGAAGATGACCTGGTCCTTACCTGAAAAAAGGGAAGAGAAGGAGCATTGTAGATTAAAAGAATCTTAAAATACCAAACCAACCAAACACAATGTCTGCACTGTACTTGGATCCTAATTCAAATAAATTTAGCTGTATAAAGATTTATGACTTAATCACTGAAATTTGAGTATTGGATATTAATTATATAGAGAGTGTTAAAGAGTGCTTAGTTTTTCAAAATGTGGTTGTGTTATAAAAAGAATGAAGGAATACAGATAGAAATGGATATGGGTGTTTTTGTAGATGAAATGATAACTAATTTGGAATTTGCTTTAAAATTAAAAACAGCAAAACAAAATGAATGGGCCTGGGCCTGGTAGAGAAGGGGGCATCGTAACACAGTTAAGCCAAGAGCGACTCTTACTAATCTTGGCATATTGACGAAAGGGATTATGCTAGTTTATAATAACATTTCATAACATGTCATCTAAATTTTATTTGAAAATACTTTAACCCACTAATAGAAAAGGAGTCAATGTTTTGTTCTCAAAGCCTTTATTGCATAAAAGCACAATGTGAAAATGTAGGCTATCTGATGGCATTTTTCTTCAGGGTTTGTTAAGAACATTTTAGCTTTACTTGCTTGCTGGAAGGTGATTTTGAAACAAAGGTGCTGTGGTTTATTAGATGTTAGTTGGCCCTTGTTATCTGTGGCAGCTATGTTCTGTAAAGTGTCATGAACACTGAATTAGCTGATACATTATTCCTAAAGGAAATACAGGGTAGGTCTCTGCAAGCCTCTGGCCATCACATTTTCACACAGTATCTAACAATTTTAGGCAACTAGTTGTTCATAATCTCACTTCCTGTAAGTTTTTGTTGAAGGGCACATTATTCAGCCTTTGTTATTACTTTATTAATGGTGAGCCCACAATTCAGGCCAAAGACCATGACACACCTGCACAGAGCCAATCTTACAATGGGTTTTCTCTGTAAGGCCCTTCACAGCCTCTGCTCTCAAGCACAGTATTCAGGTGCCAGGTAAACAGTGAAGTCAGCCCCACTCCCTAACAAATGAAGAAAGAGAAAATGCACAAAAATGAAAAACAAAAAAAAACAAAAAAAAACCCAGAACACGAAATAGGCCTAAGAGGACACTGTTTGGAGGTAGGCACTAAAATGAGGCAGAGTGTCATCTTGTCCAACCTCAGTATAGTAACCATCTCAAAGCTTTCCCCTCTGTGCTTATGTATTTATAAATTACCATGAAGGTATTACAAATATTGATTCTGAGATTACAAAATGATTTTGTCAAGTAGACAAACTTGCAAACATGGAATCCATGTGTAAGGAGGACTGACTTTATACCAGTTTCTAAGAAATTATTTTCTCTTAATTTAGCTTGAAGCAACTCTGAATGTATGTTTATTAAATTTTGCTAATAAGTAGTTGTATATTTTACAAATAGATTGAAGTTATAATGTGAAAAGTTCAGATGTTTTATAAAAGTCTGAGATGGATTTGTTTAAGCATGTTTTACATAAGGCAGTAATATAAAACATACAAGGAATAGAACATTGTGAACTCACAAATTGATAGAGATGATCTATATCTGAGTAACATTTAAGAACAAGATAATTTGACTTTTGTTCAAAATGCACAAGAGTGCTTTCTGTATCCATAGCATTTTTCTGGATCCGGAGACTCGAAGAGCCATGGGAGAACAAGCTGTGGCTCTTGCCAGAGCAGTGAAGTACTCCTCAGCTGGAACCGTGGAGTTCCTGGTGGACTCCAGGAAGAACTTCTACTTCCTAGAAATGAATACGAGACTGCAGGTAACACCTGGTTCTGTTCCTCTCACCACTTCCCCCCCCTTTTTTTTTATTATTGTGGTACTGGGATTTAATTGGGGTGCTTTCCCACTGAACTATGTCCCTAGCCCTTTTAATTTTTTTTTTTTTTTAATTTTGAGATGGTCTCTTACTAAGTTGCTATGGGTCTTGCTGTGTTGCTGAGATTGGCCTTAAACTTGTGATCCTCAGTCTCCTGAGTCGCTGGGATTATAGGCATGTGTTGCCATGTCTGGCTTTTTTTTTTTAATATATGTTAAAAATTAGTTTCATAAACTGTTAAATAAAGATTTCGATTTTATGCTTGTGCTGTCTACCAAGAAGGGACAGGTAAGAATCCTGTGAACCTAACATCAGGGTTTAGGCTTCTGCTTTGTTACTGATAGTATTTGGTGGGTAGAAATTCCACTTTGATTTTTTTCTTGAATTTTTCAGCATGAATTTGTTTGTCAGGGTTCATATGCTGTTCAGGGGCACTACGCTAGGTATTGCAAATAGAAAGGGAGTAAGTGCTTCCAGAATCTTCAAAAGGAAGGGAACCTAGAGTAAACTTTCAGGAATGATAGTCACAGTGCCCAGCCAGGCCTGTCCCTGTTATGAGGATCAGAAACCAGTGGCCGCCCCTGCATCTGTGGACATCATCCGTCAGTTCTAGCCAGGATCTCAGGAAGTTGCCAGTGCTATAATAGGTGGCTTTCCTGGCTTCCTCCTTTCTTTTGTTGTTTTATTCAATTTGAACTATACACACACAGAACATAATGCGATGTTGAGCAAAGCAAAACTCCGCGCGTGTTCCACCGTGTCTTCTGCAGCATTTCTTAGCCAGCTTCCTGTTTTCTTCTTTTTCTCAGTTATTCCCCTTCCATCTTCTCTAGCGTCAGCTCCTCTTCTGACTGGATTCTCAGCACTTTCTCATGTTTCCATATAGTTCTTCCTTCGAATTTTGTATACCCAAGTAGCATGGTTAGTTCTTACCTGTTTCTTTTCTTTACAGTTTGTATTAATGGGCTTAATCGTCTACATTGTTTTGGGCTTGACTTCTGACACTGTGTGTTTGAGGTTCTTCCAGGGTGTTTCATGTGACTCCTGTATGGTATTCCTTTGAAGAAAATACCACTATTTATCTAACTATTCAATCTCTATAGAATTTTAGTTTGCTTCCAGTTTTATGGGGTTTGCATTTGTTTGCTAGGGTTACCATAACAAATGATGATAAAGTGTGACTTACATAACAGGAATTTCACATTCTTTCGCATTTCAGGAGGCTAAAGCCTGGCCTCAGGGTGCCAGAAGAATTGGTTTCTTCCTTGGGGCCTTGAGAAGGACCTGACCCCTGCCTCTCCCAGCTTCTAGTGGTGGCTAACACTCCTTGTCCTTCCTTGATTTGTGGCAACACAGCACAGTTGTCTTCTGGACTTCTCCCTGAGCATCTCTGTGCCCAAAGTTCCCTCTTTCTGTATGGACAGTAGTCATATTGGATTTAGGAGTCACCCCACTCCGTGACCTTATCTTAACTTGATTATATTTGCTAAGACCTGTGTACAAATAGGTCACATGCACAGATTCTTGATGGATGTGAATTTTGATGGGATTCTATTCAGTACATCATGCCATTCATAAAACACCTTTGTCCACAGAGGCTGGGATGGTTGGGTGGGGTTACAGGCTGCTGGCCAATAGAACTGGGGGAAAACACACTTGTGCCTTTCCACACCTTATTGGGCTGGGGCTGGGAGGGCTGGCTGTGGTGCTCCCAGAGGAAGCCAAGTCTGCCTTGAGTCTTCTTTTGTTGAGATGATTGTTCTTCAGAAGCCACTGGGAGCCTGAGGGTCTTTCACAGTTCCTCTGAGCCTGTCCTTCTCAGAATGTGTCTGCATACTCAGGCCCTTTCCCCAGAGGTGGACTATTTCTTGTGACTATGCTCGTTGCCTGCTGGTGGTTGCAGGGAAGAGTGTTTTGGGTTCCCTCCATGCCTTGTCTTCATCAGCCCTGTGACCTTGTGTCCTTGAAGTGGGTTTCCTCAGTGGTCCTGTCCTTCCCTCAACAATAGGGAATCTGAGGTCTGAGCCCCAAATGGTTTTCTGCCTCTTTGTTGGTAGTTGCCTTTTTGTGTTCTGTATCTGATTTTATCCTCTTCTACATGACCTCGTCAGCCAGACATTTTTACTTTGTCCCTATAAGCAGTGTATGATTTCCTAGCCAAGTCAACAATCTTTGTCTTGTATCTGCCTGGACAGTTTGGTCCATAGAAAGTTAATGTAAACTCTGATATATTTGTGGAATTTAGTTTTTTAATCTGTCTGTCTGTCCATCCATCCATCCATCCATGGATGGTGGATCCATCCATCCACCTATCCTGGATCTCAGTACGCTGCTCAGGCTGGCCAGGAACTCCTAAGCTCAGTTGATCCTCCTGCCTCAGCCTTCCAAGGAGCTGAGACTATGGGTTCACCAACCACATCTGGCTTGGTCTATTTGGATTTAGAGTCTTTCTTATGTGTTTTATAATTAAGTGTATGTAATTAGATAATTAACTAGAAAATCATGTCTTTTATTAAAGGGTAGATGTTATCGTGTCTTCATGAGAATAACAGCTTTTAATGTGATTCTGATAGAAACCGAAGTGACAAAGCCTTTGTATTTCATTCCACATACAAGAAATACAAGATTGTTTAATTGAGGTACTCATGGGTATTTAAGGAATTGACAACTAATATCTTTTGTTTTTTTAAGTGCAGTTTGTTACCATGGGCTTGTGGTTTTTCCTTTTTGGTTTTTGTTTTGTTTTCAGATGAGACCTTGCTATGTTGCCCAGGCCGGTCTCAAGTTCCTGGGTTCAAGTAGTTCTCCTGGAACTATAGGCATGCAGTACTGTGTCCAGCTGTTATGGTATTATTATTATTATTATTATTATTATTATTATTATTATTTTGGTATTTGTTCCTGGCTATTTATTTTAGCCTATAAGTTTATTCAAGATTGTTCTACAGTCATTTTAGCATAAGATCTAAAAGTTAATATTTAAATAATTCTGTGCTGCCGGTGAAAACCATCCAGGTACCCAAGTTTTGTATCTTGGCTAGCTTGCCAGGACATTGTGTGCTATGCCATCAAGAAAGGTCATAAATAAGTTTGTGGGGCGGGAGACTCCAATTCATAAAGATTGCATCATATCAGATCTGATAGTCCTGATCTGTGCTAATACCACACTTTGGTACATGTGTCTCCCATTTAATGTTTCCTCATCTTTCTTTTCTCTCTTCTATTTATTTGCAGCAACTCTGATCCTGCCAGTCAAAGAAATGCATTTTTGACTTGAATCATTTGTGTGTAGGGGTATTTGATGGTAGGATATTAGTGAATGGGCCCATAATCGAGGAGTCTTAGACTTTATGGTATTCGAAAGCCGTTCTTACTACACATGCCAAACATTTCTTTCTAACATTGTTTAAGCAATTGAAATGTGCTTTTAACTGTGGATTTTCTCTTTTAAATTTCTTTACTAACCTTAAATTATAATGTGTAAGGCACATTCACCAAATTCTTTAGCTCCTAAACTGTATCTTATCTCTAATTACTGTTTCAGTTTGAGCCAGGAGGGCTATAATTTTCTTTGTCTTTTTTTTTTTTTTTTTTAAACTTGAAATTTCCTGACTGAACTGTCACTTTTTCCAGCTTTAGAACTTGTATGTATTTTCTGGTAACAGAAATGTGAGGAGCGTGTTCATTTTACTAATTTCCTCAAGAGAGAAATTTGAGATAATGAATATGTTTCTCTATAAGGAAATGTGCCTCTGAGAAAGTCACCAAATTTGGCCCATGAACACTTATCCATCTGACTGGGTTTGTTTTCAGTGTGGTCAGAGTTTATGTGTTAGAATTATCTATGTTTTTTAAGCCACTTGCTTCAAGGCTTAAATATAAAATTCCAATGCGTTAGCATCACAGTAAAATTTCCTTCGTGTGGCCCTAATGGGACTCCTGCCCCTTGCTAGGGCCATCTCCCTGTGGGTGAGATGAGGCTCCTTTCTTTTCCCTGAATATCCCTTTTCGCCTATGTATACTTTGGAGTGGTCTCTGCCCACGTCTGTGGTGGACACTCACTTCTCCATCCACCTTCACACTCCACACCCCTTGGCTTATCATTTCTCTTACGCATCTTGCCTTGTCTCCACATTTGATAGATGGAGAGATGGAATAATACTCTATCAAAAAGATGATTTATTAATATGCTATTTTAATGAAGTATATCATGTATAATCTTGCTTAAATTTCCGTTCCTTAGTTTATGGAATGGTAATAGAATTGGTAGTATTCTGTCTAAAAACAAAAAATCCAAACAGATGTATAGAAAATTGGAATAGTGACTCTCCATACCATATTGAGCTGTCGTTTTTCTGGTGCTGAGATTCTAATCCAGCTAAGAACACATTCCACCTCTGAGCTGTACCCCAGCCCTATGACCTGTACCTCTTCCCTCCACTCTATACCACATTTTGTCACAGCTGTTTATTTTCCTCTGTAGAAGTAAACTCTGTTTTACTTAACATGACATCTTCAGGAGTGTGGCATATTTAACTTAAAACATTATAACCTTTATTTTAATGACTTGCAATAGCCTGTCAAATAGATGTCTAGTCATATAATTTCACCAGTTCTGTGTTGATCATTTTTCTAGTAGCTTTCTATTACAAATATTGCAGTTACCAGGAACCCTCTACATCCATTTTGCATATAAGTGTGCAGAATTTCCAGGAAAGCAATATGTACTTTTTTAAAAAAAGATTATTTTTTGTAGTTGTAGTTGGACACAAAACTTTATTATTTATTTATTTATTATTTTTATGCAGTGCTGAGGATCGAACCCAGGACCTTGCACATGCAAGACAAGCACTCTACCAATGAGCCACAACCCCAGCCCCACAATATGTACTTCTATTAAGTATTTTCAGGTTGCCTTGAAATTACAGGAGAGCTTGTTTCTT